TATAGCACTGATGAAACATATAACTTTCCTCTAGTTTTTTAATGCTTCTTTCATGATCCCACTATCATGATCCCAATTCTATCTTACAAGTCCGGCTAGATCAGACCAGAGGATGTACACTGGTACAGTTAAGAGCTGGAAACACAGAGAATCCAGGAGAGATAAGCCCCTCAGGACCAATAATGAGAGTAATGATACCAGGAGGGTAAGGGAAAGGTGGGGGGCAAAAGGGGGAACCGATCACAGGGATCTACATATAACCCACTCCCTGGGGGACAGACAACAGAAAAGTGGGTGAGACATTGGTCAATGTAAGACATGAAAAAATAATAATGTATGAATTATCAAGTGTTTGTAAGGGAGGGAGGGGGAAAATTAGGAGCTGATACCAAGGGCTCAAGTAGAAAGAAAATGTTTTGAGAATGATGATGGCAACAAATGTACAAATATACTTGACACAATGGATGGATTATGATAAGAGTTGCATGAGCCCCCAATAAAATGATTTTTTTAAAAAGCTCTTGGAGAAATGAAATTGAAATGGGTTTTTCCCACTGTCTTTTTGAAGCGCCCCCCTCATAGGTGCAATGGTGGGCGGTGGGGGGTGGGGGATTCTCTATGTACATTTTTTTTGAGGTAATTGCTGACTTCCCAGAAGAGTCCAGGTACTGAGTGGCTTGGAAACTGGGCTAACTACTCCCCAGGCCTGCAGACGGCGTTCACCCCGCACACTGGACACTAATCCCTCGCCGGGTGGGGCTGAGCACAGGCAAAGGAAAAGGTCAGGGAGGCCTGGCACTGGTTACCCAGGAGGGCCCCTGAGCAGGTGGAGAAGAGAGGTCCTCCACTGGAGCCGCCGTGCACAGCACATGTGCTCTGCAGCATCACGGGTGTGTCGTCCACGTGCACCACAGCCGACAGGATGCCCGAGGTCACTGAGGGCCCGCAAGCCTGGCCGAAGACTCCAAAGCCCACCACACTGACAGCCTCGCCTGCCAGAGAGGGAAGGAGAATGACATTCACCCCCAGCCTCTGTCAAGACCCAAACCCTGCCTGTACTCCAAGTTTCTACCCCGGGTCCCCCACTGGGCTCCCAGTATTGCAGCTACTCAACCAACTTCCCCTGAGCTATCGGGGCCCTTGCCTCCCTGTTAGAAGGCTCAGGCCCTTCCGGGGGGGATCACCCCTGGCTCAAAATCCCTGAGTGTGTCCCAGGAGATAAATCCACAGTCCTCAGAGTGCCCAGGAATAGGCACGTCCACCCCACTTTGCAGACGTGGAGACTGGGGCAGAAAACGGCTCCACAGCAAACCTAAGGCTTTCAAGTAGCAGCCGAGAAAGGCCAACCGGAAGACCTGGTCTCTCCATTGCCAGACTACCCAGCCTCCAAGAAGGGAGACACTTGATACTTTCATGGCCACATTACTAAGCCTCTCACCCAGATCGTGCCACCAGCGCCGCCCTCCAATGGCCACCTCTCTGCCCAGCGAAGTGTCGCACCACGCCATCAACCAGCCAGTGGGGCAGAGGTGCGCCTTACACTTCCCCAGGGACCTACCCTAGCACCTTGTGGTGGCATGGACAGGTGGGCATCTGTAGGAAGAGCTTCCAAGGGCAACCCCGGCCAAAGCACGGAATGACAACATACATGCGCTGGGTGGGGAGAGAGGCTGGCCCCCTTAAACTAACTTCCTTTCCTGAACTCCATCTCAGAGTGTGGGGGCCTGCTTTGCGCTCCTGTGCCCTTTACCTTCCTGGAAGCGGTCCACGGGCACAGGTACAGGGACGCCGGCCAGGTCCTCCTGCAGCCTCACCACAGCTATGTCATAGGGTGACACCGCCTGCGTAGCAAACACCACCCGTCCCCAGATGGCGGCACTCCTAGGAGCAAGGGCCACACATGACAGTTTTTTGAACCTTTAGTGCCCATTGTAGGGGCTGGGGGAGGGGGGCAAGGAGGGTAAGAGAATGACAGTGAACAGTCATGGTCTGAGACCTGCCCGCTAGGCAACTCTGGGTCTGTCACTTCAGCAGCGTGGTATTTCCACACAAACTGTCAGCAGCTCTAATTAAAGCCCCTGCTAATGAATTGACTCCAGCTCTGGTGCCCTCGACATGTCGGAGAACTGTTCCACAGGGTTTTCAATGGCTGGTTTTTTTGTTAGTAGACTGCCAGACCTTTCTGCCAAAGTGCCTTTGGGTGGCCTCGAACCTTCGGCCTTTTGGTTAGCAGCTGAGGATGGTACACAGGCGAATACCAAAAGACCAAACCAAACTCGCTGCCACTGAATTGATACTGGTTCCTGGCAGCCCTGGACAACCAGGTAGCATGAGTTTTCGAGAGTGTAACTCTTTGTGGGGGTCAAAAGCCCCATCTTTCTCTCTTGGAGCGGCTGCTGCTTTTGAACTGCTGCACTTGCAGTTAGCAGCCCAGCTTGTAACCATACCACACACCAGGAAGGACTCCTGGTCACAGCTAAGAGGACTTCCCAAAGCGGCAGCCACTGAGGCCCCTGTGGGGCACAGTTCCACTCTCACACAGATGAGCTGGAAACAACTTAATGGCAACTTGTCCTTAACACTCTGGGCCAGGCCTGCTGTGAATTTTTAAAGGATATTATTGAACTAGGCACTGTCATTAGTGCCACTGAGTCCCAGAATGGCTGAGTATGTAATTGATCGGATCCAGGGCCTATTCCAAGAACAGGTGATGCTACAAGCCTGCTGGTAGCCCCTCTGGATCCTTATTTATATAAATGCTAGCTCTTCCATAGCCAGGTTCCATTCTGACTTGACGTCTTAACTCATGAAGGCAGCTTAAGAGATAAAATGACTTGTCTATGATACAGGCTCTCTGCACAAACGCTGTGCATTTGAACTGGCGATTTCACTCAGGGGTGGGTGTGTGTGCATGATCTGGGAACCACCCCTGGGGTGTTCCTTATACAATCCAACCATGGTAAAGGCAAAGCCCTCTGGGCTTCACAGGTGGGATTTGGAAAGACTTGGCCTGGGCAAGGTTGATTCATTAGGCAGTAACACCAAAGCTTTATTCTGCTCTGCTGAGGCCTAAGTTAATCATCTGAAGCTACAGAAGAAACAGAAAAGGAGAGGCAACTGCTGGTAGGGTTGGAGCAGGCAGAAAGAGAGCAAAGGTGCTTTTCCCTGCAGTTGGAACAAATGATAGTCTAGGCCAGCAGTTCTCAACTTGTGGGTTGCGACTCCTTTGGGGTTGAATGACCCTTTCATAGGGGTCGCCTGATTCATAGCAGTAGCAAAATTACAGTTATGAAGTAGCAACAAAAATAAATTTATGGTGGGGGGGGGGTCACCACAACCATAGGAATGGTTATAAATGTAATTAAGGGTTGCGGCATTAGGAAGGTTGAGAACTACTGGTTTAGGCCCTAGCCTCACCCAAATTGTTCAAACTGTGCCTACCTGCCTGGGCCCTGCCCCAAATCCCTCACTTTGATCCAGAAGAAAGAGTCTGTTAAGATCTCAGAGATGAACAAGCCCTTCTCGTTTCCTTAGGAGGCAGTTTGCTACACTCCTGGGACTTCACCACCACTTGGAAGGCGGGAAAGAGCTGGGAAGTCTCCATTAAGAGAGAACGGAGTACAGAGAAGTCACCCAAAATTAATTTAGAGGTCCAGGGATACCAAGGCTAGGATACAGAAAGACCCCCCCACACACACACACTCCCACCCTCAAACAGAAAACTCACTGCCATATAGTGGATTCCTACCCAAAGCAACCCTTCAGAGTAGAACTTGGCCTGTGGGTTTCCAAGACTGTACCGTGCCTCAAGGCTCCATCCACCTGGGCAGAAAAGGGCCCAGAGCCCTGGAATTCAGGTTGTTTGAAGCTTGGCACCTTGCCGAAGACCCATTCAAACCCTGCCAGGAGACCCCATACACTGGGGTTCTGGGTTTCAAGGATGAGAAGACGACCCAGAGCCCTGCTCACAGGACACCTCAAAGAATCACTGTGCTGCCAGTGGCCAAGGCTGATGAAGGGTTGGGTGGGGGGCAACAGCTGCGGGCCTTACTTGGGGATGGAGGAGCGCACCAGGACCCTTGCACCCTCTCGAGGGGCCACATGCCGGCAAGTCACCACGAGGTGGGGCGCCACTGCCACTCCGGAGCCCCATACGGTGCCGCACTCCACCAGCACAGCTGCAGTTGCCCAAGGGGGCCCGGGGTCTTGGAAGGGCAGGTCCCGCGGGGCGCCCACCTCCTGCGGCAGCCGGGCAGCCAGGTCAGCAGAGTCCGGGTGCAAGTGGCCCAACGCGGCTCGGGCGGCGCGGAGGAGCGGGGCGACCGCGCAGAGCAGCGTGAGGCCCACCCACTCGCGCGCCTTCCAGCAGAGCGGCGCCGCTACCAGCGCCACCAGGGCGCCCGGAGGCCGCGCCGCGAACACCCCGCCACCCTCCGTGCCCGGCAGGCAGCGCGCGTCGGTGAGCAGCAACGGCCCGGCAGCGTTGCTGAGCACGCCGCGGCTCAGGGTGTTGAGAAAGATGTCCGGGCAGAAGGCGCCGAACGGGGAGCCGCAAGCCAGCAGCGGCGCGCCCTTAGGGACAGCCCCAAGGGGCGCCACGGCCACGGGCGCCCCGCGCTCCTCTGCGCCCTCCCGGGCCTCCGCCTCGCCGGGCAGCACCCGCAGCAGCGCGAACCAGCCCAACGCTCGCAGCTGATCCTCCTCCTCGTCTTCGGACACCTCGTCGCCCGGCGCCCAGCTCTCGAAGCGCCACTGCTCGGCCGCCTCGCCCCGGAAGAGACGCGCCACGTGGGCCCGGAACGCCGGGCAGCTCAGAAGCAGCAGCAGCCTGGCGGGGCGCGGGGCCTGCAGGGGCCGGCCGCGGGGCAGGGCGGGCGGGCCGGGCTCGGGGCCCGCGCACTGGGGCGTGCACAAGCCCACGCCGTTGCGCTCGGCGCGGCCTGCGGGGCTCACCGCCGTTGGCCCCCACTGCACGTGCAGGCGCAGGTCGTCGCCGCAACTGTCGCCGGGCAGGAAGGCGGCGCCGGGCGCAGTCAGGGCGCCGCTGCCCGCCCGCAGGAAGGGGGTGAAAATACCCCCGTGACACAGGACGAGGCCCGGGCTGCGGCTCAGGATCACCCCGCTGCAGCTCCACGAGCCCTCCTCGGGACGGCCGGCTCGGGAGGCGCTCACCACGCAGCCCGTCTGCTCGGCCGCCTTCATGGCCGGTCCCCACGGCCGTCCCATGGCCTCCAGGCTGGAGCACCCAGAGTTTCAGCGAAGACCAGGTAGCGAACTGGTGAGGTCCCCCGGCGGGACGAACTAGCCCCCGTAGGGCCACCCAGAGCTGAACTAAAAAGGTGCAAGCCTTTACCGTGGCTTTCCTGCTGAAGCGGGATTGGCTAGCCCCCAACTGACCAGTCCGGATTGGCTAGGGTTGGGTCAAGCTCTGATTGGCTATTGATGCTGCTCCCGCCCCCCCACGCCCTCCTAGCCTCATCCAACCTGCAAAACGCAGCGGAAACAGCTGGCCCTGAAGCCGAGCCCCTAGGAGAAGGATTGGCTGTGTCGTTTTACGTAACGAGGGGCGGGGACAGACGGGGGCGGGTCCCTCAAAGCCTAGTATGTTTCTAAGGCTACAGGAAAGGCAGTCGAAATGAGCTGACGTGGCTGGACTTGTCCTGGCCTTGGCAGGACCTGTCAGATCGACATTGCGACATTGACGTTCCGATCCGTGGGGTGATGCAGTCCGAGGAAATCCCTGGTCTATCCCGTATATAGAAATTTTGAAAGCAAATCCTACAGCAATTCTCTATGGGGCATGAAGCTCACAACATCTACCGTCTTTCAATGCCAAAGCCCCACCCTCCCCAAGCCCCCACCCCAACAAATCCCATAGTAATTGGATTGGCTCTAAATAAAATAGTCCTTTAAACTACACAGCTAAAGTAAAAATTTTTAATTACACAACACTACATTTTGCAGTATTCTAAAACACAGCTTTACTCCCCTTAAGTCGTTTCTGGCTCATGGTGACTATAGGGCAGGGTCGAAGTCCTTCTGTGGGTTTTTCCAAGACTAACTTTTTTACTGGAGTAGAAAGCCTCATCTTTCTCCCATGGGGAAATTGGTAGTTACAAACTACCAACGTCATGGCTAGCTGCCCAACAAAGAACCACTGTGCTATCAGGGATCCTCTTTGTAGTATATACATTATACACACCTCAGGGTTTATCTATGCCAGAGATCAAAACCGTTCTCTCTAAATAGTTAGGTTTTGAAGACCAAATGTTCTTGCTGTTAGGTTCTGACCCATAGCGACTACAGACAACAAAACACAGGCCCGGTCCACACAATCCTCGCAATTGTTCCTATGCTTGAGCCCAGTGTTGCAGCCACTGTCAATCTATCTCCTGAGGTCCTTCCTCTTTTTCGCTGCCCCTCCACCTTGCCAACCATGTCCTCCAGGGACTTGTCTCTCATGACGTGTCTGAGGTTATCTAAGACAAGAAATCTCCCCACCCTTGCCTCAGAGGCACGTTCTGGCCATACCGCTTTCAAGACAGATGGCTTTGTCCTTTCAGTTCAGTGGTGCGTTCAACATTCTTCTCCAGCACAATTCAAACGCACCGATTCGAATGCACAATCTTCCTTATTCAACTGAAAATTGAAGCAATTGAAAATACCATGGATTGAGTCCAGCACACCTTAGTCCTCAAAGTCACCACCTTGGTTTTCAACACTCTGAAGAGGTCTTGTGCAGCAGATTTACCTAATCCAACACATCTTTTGATCTCTTGGCTGCTGCTTCCATGTGAGCACTGATTATGGATCCAAGAAGACAAAATGCATGACAACTTTAACCTTTTCTCAGTTGATCATGATGTTACCTGTTGGTGCAATTGTGAGGATTTGGGTCTTCTTTACATGGAGTTGTCATCCATACTGAAGGCTGCAATCTTTGATCTTCATTAGCATGCTACATAATCTGTCTCAAACACTCAACTCTGTGAAAGCTAACCCAAAAGCTATGAGTGTTCCAATAAACCTTGAGTGTGGACACTGAAATTTGAGTTTCATGTAATTTTCACTTGGCCCAAAACTTATTTCTCCAATAATTTTAAAGTTAATTTTCTTCTTTTTTAGTAACTCTGTACAAAAACAGATGGCAAGCATGATTGGGCCCAGAAGCCATAGTTTACCTACCCTGCATCTATGGTTAAAGAAACCTGCCTACTTTTCTAAATATATATTCTTGAGGATGAAGAAACATGAAGTACATCTGGGAGCCCCTCGTGGCACCCCCAAAAGTCACAGGTTAGACATTTTAAAAAGTTCTGCCTTACCACCATGTCACAAACATGCACAAGACTATTATAGTCCACATATTTATCAGCATTAATGAAAAAAAAATTCTGTACTTAAATTACATAACCCTTTTGTCGGAACACCTCTAAATGCTACTTAGTTCTGCCCAGCACAACATAGGGTAATGCTCTGTGCCACGAACCTGTTAGACAGAGGGAGACTGTTAAGCACTCTAGTAAGAGGCAGGGTAGAAATAGTCTTCCGTCCACTGCCTTCTTTGGGCAGATGACCTCGTCACAGTAAACTCTTAACTCTCCCTATTTCCAGGAGAGCCCAGGTGGTGTGGTGGGTTACATGCACATTGGCCTGCTACCACCAGCAGCTCAGGAGCGTTGGAATCCACAGCGCAATTCTACTCCACCCTGTAGGGTCTGAGTCTCAACTTGGTCTCAGTGAGGGCTTTTTAACCCAATTTCCTTCTCTCTAGAGCAGTGGTTCTCAACCTTTCTAGTGCCACGACCCTTTAATACAGTTCCTTATGTTGTGGTGACCCCACCACCATATTTTTGTTGCTACTTCCTAACTGTAATTTTGCTCGTTATGAATCAGGCAGCCCCTGGGAAGGGTCGTTCAACCCCATAGGTTGAGAACCACTGCTCTAGAGGCCAGGATCTTCCCTTACTGACACTAGACTCCAGCATGAACTGTTACTAGGCTTTCCTGTTTACAGCAGCAAACAGTAGTCCCTAGTCACAGCCAGCAGCAGCCAAAGTGAGACCCCTACAGTGCTGGCCTTTTTACTCAGCCTTGAAACATCATATTCTATTTTCCCTCCAAACCAGCCCATCCATGTATACACAGAACTCCCAGCATTCCTATGTACTGAGACATTCGTTTCAATAGCAAAAATGCCTCCAATCATTGCTAAACTGGGCCCAGTCCTTGTTGCCACATTTGAGAATTGATTTATGCTCATCTGCTGCTGAAAGGACCCACTAACTCTGGGGCCCAGCATGTCCCAAGGCTTTCAAGTGGTGCGCAACGCAAGGTCACAGCCTTCGCGGAGCTGTGTGGGCACCTCCTGCACACACTATTTCAGTCTCCAGTGTTCCTTCCTAGAACTTGTGTTTCTTCCCCAAATGTCAGGATGTGTTCAAACTAAGAATAGACACATACACCAACCGCATTTGTTTTAACTTTTTATTAAAATGTTTAGGATACAGACTGACTTTTGTTTGCAAATGACTACTGGACTGTTCCTGAAATAGGACATGTATGCACTCTGTGAAAACAGAATGAAAAGAAACTCTCAATTCAAAGGTGTTCCTGTACAAAGCTCTGATCCTACTCTATGGACGGAGCAGCAGCGCTCCTCACGGCTGTTTCTTTCAGCTACCTTCTTATAGGAATGGTGTTCAGTGGGGCAAGAAATAGACAGGCGCAGCTTGACTTTTCAATTCCTCTTTCTCCAGTGGCTGGAATGAACCACTTTCACAAAGAGCTGCCCTATCTAGAACCCATTCTTATTAGGGACAAAGACGGCCCAAAACAAGCAAGAAAATGAACACTGAAGCAACCATACTTCACGTGTCTCTGCAGAGAGAAGTATGGACTCTTAGCCAAAGGAAACAAAGGATAGAGGTCAGCTACCTAGTTCGGTCAGTTAGCTAGATTTGTTCACGTAAGGCTTTAACTCCTTTCCAGAGCAACCATCTAGCCTGCAGTCCGGCGAAATGCATGCTCTCATCAGACTGCACCATCAGGTGTCTGCATTGGGTACTGGGCAGTGAAAAAGTATGCTTTCCCACTAAGTCCAACTGAAGACGAAGAAGGGGAAATCCAGTTCAGGAGGAGTCCCGTCCACAGGAATATGTGAGCCCACACTCGTCTGCCTTCACGTCAGAAGCCAAGAATCCACTGTTCCATCCTCCGCAAGTAAGCGTTATCACCACCATTAGCAATTTTGAAATTATAATCTTTCATTAAAGGAAAAAGGAAGCCAGCCTCCCATCTCCTACCACTTCATCTTTTACCCCAAGGGGGGAATATAGGTGAAGATTGTGAAAGCACAATTCTAGGCCTGCATCTCTTCCACTAGGCGTCTCCTGACGGAACATGATGCTGACCCAAGAGGCACAGCCCTACACCAGGTTGTTTCTCCCGGTTTACTTCTGAATTGGACAAAGGGCAAATTTCAAGTGTAAAAAAATGATAATAAAATAAAATTGGGAGAGCTACAGCTGCTAACCACTGCTGAAAACACACAACCAGGACACTGCTAGAGAAGTGCGCTCAGAGATGAGAACAGCGCTTGGGGGGAGGGAGGTCTCAGCAACACAATCAGGAGACCAAATTCTGGAGGAGGAGCTTTAAAGCCTGAGTACCTCTTTCCAAGGTTGAAATGTGCTACGTTATCGTATTGTAGGTCCTTAGCAGAAGTAAGGACCCTCAGGCCGTGACCTTTGCTCTGTGTAACTGTCCAACTCAGAAAACCCCATACACCACACCCCTGAACCTGTGCAAATGTAACTGCCATCCATAGCGTGGGGAACCTAGAATTGATGCCAACTCTTGAGGCAAGTCACTTTACAACTGAAAATGGGAAAAGGTACTATAGGCATGAATGGAATTTCATGACAGTATAAAAGCAAACACTGGCTGAAATGTAGAACTTTCTAAGTAAAAATAACAATGATAACCCGCTCTTATAATTAACTCCTCAGCAAACCATCAGCTACACATTCTGTGAGAGGAACGGCCTGTGCTCGCCGGTGAAAGCCTGCTGCAAGCTAGGCTAGGCTGCTGCCACTTGTCTAGTTACCTGCAAACAGAGATGCCACCCGCCAAAGCTCAGGGGGCTTCGCTCACAACCCCCAGTTCAACAGGAGTGAGTTCACCTGACTAAGCTCCAGCCTCTTTCATTATTTTATGAACACCTAGAAGCCATTCACTGGATTAAAAAAAACAGCAACTCTGGACCAAGTGAACTGTGAACTCAAAAAGTTAGGAGGGACACCAATTAAAGTAACAGCACTTTCCTTAAAAAATAGAATCGCTTTCTGTTTATATCAACCACAGTGGTGAGACGTGTTTTTCCTTTCAGGCGCCACAGGAGGGGCACACAGCGTTACCCGGCAAACCCTGCCAGCTTCCAAGTCCCGGGTGGCTGGCCTGCACCAGCATGTGGGGCAGCATCACCTCCCACCAGTGTGGAGAAGAGCACATGTCACCACTGGGCGATGAGAGAGCTGACAAGAGATTCGTGGCTTCTCAACGCCAAACATGGTGGAAGAGCTTTTCTTGTCCTATTAGAAAAGTTCATGAGGAAGCTGTGAATAGGATCAGTCCAGAGAAGTAAAACTTGTTTATTTTCACTGTCCAAACATCAGTCAATGTACTGGGAGAGCCAGCGGAAGCCTTCGCCATAGCCTTGCCTCTTGAGCACACTGCACATGAATACTTCCATGGGGCGGGCGTTCAGCTCCTTGAGAGTCACGTTCCCCTGATGAAGCAAAACCAACAAAGACCGGTTAGCACCTCTGGGGTGGAAAAGCTCGAAAGAGTGAGCGCAGAAATCTTCATTCCTCAGAAGCAAATGCAGTGAAGACTCCATTGCAGAAGTGTGGTCCCGAACACGATGCTCTGGGGACAGAATAAGCAGCACCCTTGCTCTGGGAAAAGCACAAGCTTTCAACACTTGGGCATTCACCTGGCTGCAAGTCAAGGAAAGGGCTACTGGGGCCCATGGGACCAGCATGTCCTTCCACAGACAAATAGCTCTGGACTTTTCAGCAATAAAGACATGCTCGCTGACCCTATGGATGCAGAAATGGACATGAATAAGAGTTTATTCTGAGGAAATTAAGGATGATTTCATGAGCCAACACTTACGCAGCAAAAAAGAGGGGAAACAATGAATTCTGGAAAGCATTTCTAAACAGAAAGAGGCAAGGCTAAGGAATCAAGTCAAGAAGTCACAAAATTATCATATGTCACACAGAGGGCTGACCGTCCTCAGGAAAGGTGCCAGGCCTCTAGAGTGGAAAGGCAAGGGGGAGTCCTGTGTACTTATAGCTGATCTGGGTGTTCTTGCTCACAAACCTGCTGTTCTGTAGCAGATCACTCCCCCAACTGGAGACAGCACAACCTACTAATCTGAAGACTAGGTTGTTTCTGGTTTTGTCACTGATAAGCTGTGTAGACCTGAATAAACCACTCTCCTGAAAAACAAAGACAACAGTCCCACCTCGCTCCACGGGAGCACTAGGCATGAATCAAATGCTTTGATTTCTACTGCTTGGAGAGTTACATAAAACGACTGCTCTGCTTCATACCTTGAAGTCGCCTGTCAAGTAATATCGATTGATTCCTAAAAGTGGTTCTTCCGAGAGAGATTTCTCAGACTCAAACTTGTAACAAATAGCCTACCATTTCCTTCATCCTCGGCTGCCGGTGAACAGCTCTCATCAGCAATCAGAGAGGACATGTGCCTGCCTTCAAAGAGCTTACAAAATACGGTGCAAACAAGTACAGATCCATTTAAACAGATGTACAAATATCAAAACATGAAATATTAGCACAGGAGTGACTGCCCTTTTGAATATGTCCCCTGAAGACTTTCTCTCTTACCTTTCCTGTGGTCTGTCCATAAAGCCCAAATATCTCACGGAGTTTTTCTTCACTGATTGCATCTGCTCTGTCAATTTTGTTACCCAAGATAAGGATTGGCACATTGGATATTGTTTCATCAGTCATTAAAGCCTAAAGAATAAAAAAAAAAAAAGTCAAGTAAACAATCTATAGCCAAGATAATGAAAACAATTTTGACTTCTACTGGTCTAGAGGGTATTAAAAATTTAAGGTGAAAATCTGAACAGCAGCATGCTTAACTAAAAGCATTTATTCTTGACATTAGGTCCCTTGATATGAGATAAAAATCTAACTGCCTCAAAGTAATTGCAACTCAAGCTTATGTGTGTCTTTTCAAAGCAGCAGAACAACCTCAACCCTCACTTGAAGCTAACTTGTTTAGCCTCAGAGCATCCTCAAGATATCCACTCAGTCGAGTCCACAGAAGGACAGTGCTGGCCAAGTCCTTGAAGATGACTATAGGAACTCGCCCAGTGTCCTCCAACGGCCCGATGTGTACAAAGCAAGGAGGCACTGAGAGGGTACAAATGGAAGGTAAGACAGCCCCTGTCCTCAAGAGAGCCTTGCTCTATAATCAGACACTTGCTAACGAAGTTTAGTAAAAACACAAAGTGGCAGAGGGCTGTCACACGAGCGGGAACAGAAAAAAGCCCTAGGAAGTTGAGGGTAATAAAATATCAACGTGAGCTTCAGCAGAGCCGCTGCAAAGATGCGGAAGCTACACTAGAATCTGCAGGCAGGGCAGGGTTTGAACAGAAGAAAAGCAAAGGGAGATGATAGTAATGGCTGCGCCGCAGGGGAAGAGTCACATGGATACGGACACGGCCTGGTCAGATTAAGCAGTTATGCTGACGTGTGAGGACAGAGTTTGTGGGGTGAGAAGGGATGAGCCACATCTGGTGTCAATCTGAAAAAAGACCCCCATACACAGAAGCCAGACTTCATGTGTACTGTGGCATTCAGGTGAAGGACGACAGTGTGGCCCACAGTGGCAGTGTTTCATGAATACTGCAGGAGGCATTTACGGCAAAAGAGTTGAAGCAGCACAGTGTCAAAAGGAGGCAAAGTGAGCAGCGCTCAAGCCTGGGACTCTAGTTCTAGCTGGCAGCCAAGCTAGGAAGGGAAGCAGAGTGAAAAGAAATGTGCTTTGACCATCGTGGATTCCAGGAAATGTTGAACATCAAAATAAGGGTGTCATTCACTCATAAACACTGTCCACTTTGTGTCAGATACTTTGTGAGGTACTGGAGATTCAGAGAAATAAGATGAGGTCTTTCCATTTGAGCACAGTATTTGGTGGGAGATGCCGACAGGAAAACCAGTAAAGACAACAGACACTGACAAGGTAGGGATAAGAACACAGGCTGCAAGGGTAGAGAAGGTGCCTTAAAAGTGGTGCTACCTGAGCTCAGAATTCTCTTAAAGGACATGAAGAGAAAAACAAACAGGCAAAGGTAGCCACCTGTGCATACTGAAGGACAGGCAAGTTCTCTATATTCCAAATGTAGTTCAAGGTAAGCCATTAAGAAAGCAAGCTGGAGAAATAAATATAGGGAAGATCATGCATAATCTCATGTGCTAAGCAAGAGACATGGATCTTACATGGAAGTGACAGAGAACGACTACAAGATGTTCCAGCACTACAGTGCATAGTGGGGTGGGGTGGAGGCGGTGCACACGGAAGGCAGGGAAGACTGTGCCAACAGCTGAAATAGAGTCCAAGCTTGGAGATGTTCTGGGTTTGGTTCCAGGCCACTGGAATAAAGCTACTAGTGCAATAAAGAAAACCACACAAATTTCATGGTTCCCCAGTGCATATAAAAGTTATGTTGATACTATACTGCAGTCTTAAGTATACAGTTTTATTCTGCAAAAGGTGAAACATCGCGAAAATTACGGAAACGTGAGCTACAAAGTGAGCACATGCTATTGGGAAATGGCAACAATAGACCTAATTGACACAAACCTTCAACTTCTAAAGCAAAGAAATGATAGTACAATGAGGTATGCCTATAATGAAGGCCTAGAACCCACACAGAGGCACAGATGGTGTGAAGTAGAAAGTAAGGGACGAGGAAGGAGGAGTACAGGTGTACCAAAATCAAAAGCTTTGGGGGAATTTAAAGAGAGTGGGAATGGCCAGTGCCAAGAGGTACGGTAGAAGAGCACTGCCCTACTATAGGCAATTCTACATGAGACGAGAGCTGTAAGTTTAAGAAACATAAACATGTCCTGCGGCAGGATCAAGAATTCAGACAGGCAGTAATATATAGCCAAGAAACAGGAAAGGCATGGGAGAAAGCAGTAGGTTAACAGTAACAGGGGCAACAAAAACATCATAGAAATAGTAAAACCTGGAATATGCAATAATGGGAAGGGAAAAAAACTCCAAGTGGGTCATTGAAGATTAAGAAGTGGAGCGCATGTTCAAGATTGAAGACTGCAACCAGACAGTAAAGGCCTGGCAAATCAATCCGCAGGAAGGTGGGCAAGCACAACCAGAATATATACAGAACTCTTAATGCCAAGTTTATGGTCTCACCATGCCTGCACTACAAAGACACTGCCCCTACGTGACACGTGAACGAAATGCTGACTGTGCTGAAATAGACCATCACCCTCTGATGCAAACAACAGAGGGAACCTTACTCAAGTCCCACCCTGAGCTTCCTCGGGCCATTGGGTTGTTGTTTTTTTAATGTAATTGTTCTGTTGAAAATATATATGGCAAAGCACAGACTAATTGTTTCTACATTTATAACTAACTGCAATCTTTGAGCTGTGCAACCATTCTTACTTCTGAGTTATTCCTCCTTCAAGAAAAGCACTCTGCTACTGAGGTAGGTTCCTGTCGGATCTCGCCAGTTGCTGCTGTCATTTTGAAACCACAGAGCTCTCAGAAGAGCAATGTGCTCAAGACAGACATTTCAATGATTTGTAAACCCTTTCCTTCTGCGACTAGAACCTTCCACAGAAATTAACTAGAATGATTACGCACTGGCACTCCTGAGCTGTATTCCTTTAGAGAAACAAGCCAAGAAAGGGGAGAAAAAGGGTAAACGTACATTAAGCTCAACTTTGGATTCCATGAGACGAGAATGATCTGCACAGTCCACCAGAAATACAATTCCATTAATTGCAGGAAGATAATTTTTCCAAACCCGACGTGCTGAAAAATAAAGTTTGTAGTTGAATCAATTTAAAATGGGGTGGTGGGGGAGGAGAACGTGTATAAAGTGAATAACCTAACGGTCTATCAAATGGGCAAATATCAACCAAGTGTCAACAGCATTAATTCCCTATAGATTCTCCAAGCCCTAGCTAGTATTAAGTCAGAACTCAACTCACCACCACTGAATCGCTACACAGTGACCCTATAAGACGGAGTAGAGTTTCCGAGACTTGAACTCATTACAGAAGTTTAAGCGTCTTTCTCCCTAAGTCAAAACAGAGGGTGCAAATTAATGGCCCATAAGCTGAATTTTTTGGTAGGTTTTTGTCTTTAATATAAAAATCAGAATTTCTGACTTCCTCGAAAGTCTGTAACTTGGCTCATGTGCCAATGCTTGGCTGGAACTGAGCGATGGCTGTTCTTTTAGGCTACACCTGGGATCTTTGATTTGACCAACGTCACTCAGTTAAATGACTTATCTTACAACCTGAGACATTTTGCAGTTTGTGATCTCTGAGTTAGAACATCAGCATGCCGGGAGGATGGAGGGAAGGTGAGGTAGAAAGGGGGAGCCGATTACAAAGATCTACATATAACCTCCTTCCTGGGGGACAGACAACAGAAAAATGGGTGAAGGGAGACATCAGACATTGCAAGATATGACAAAACAATAATTTATAAATTATCATGGGTTCATGGGGGGGGGCGAGGAGGGAAGGGGAAAAATGAGGAGCTGATGTCAGGGGCTTGGGTGGAGAGCAGATTTTTGAAATGATGAGGGCAATGAATGTACAAATGTGCTTTACACAATTGATGTCTATGTGGATTGTGATAAGCGTTGTATGAGCCCTTAATAAAATGATTAAAAAAAAAAACACTTTTGAGAATGATGAGGGAAACAAATGTATAAAAGTGCTTGACACAATGGTTGGATGTATGGATTGTGATAAGAGTTGTATAAGCCCCAATAAAATGATTTTAAAAAAAGAACATCAGCATGAGAAGTGTTTGTCCCTAGAATTAAGCTGTCTCAAGTTAACTTCTCACCAACCACCCCGTGTGGAGGGGTGCACACACGCTTGAGCGAGCATGCTCCAGGTGAGGTGACTCAGCCCCCAGTTCTCTGGCAGGATGGGTCTAACAAACTGTGAAAGCCTCCAGGGTCAGTCATTAGTCTCCTGACCAAAATGCCCTATAAAATATTGCTTTTTAATTTGTGGCAGGGAGTGATACAAGCTGAGAAGCACTGCTGTAATCATATGGTAATTCCTAAGCCATTCATTTTCAGTCCTTTCACTGGGCTGAATGAGAAAGCACCTCTACACCAAATAGTTACTAATGGTTACCTCAGAAAAGCTGAAGGGGGTGTGTGTGTGTGTGAAAGAACTTTTACTTTTCATATTTTTATACTGACTGAATTTGCTACATTTAGGTTGCATTTCTATCATAAGGTAAGTGGTTAAAGTTAATTTTTAAAGGAAATTTCAAACTATACAGATTTTAATAATTTCTATAAAATGACATTCAAGTTATTAGAATAAAGTGATTGCGTGAAGTTTTTTAAAGGGGGGGAACTACGCACATGGCAACCCATTTCCCTTCTTACTCTTGCAAAACTTGAAGCTAATGTATCACATCAAACAAGCAGCAATTCCAGGCTTAGTATCTAAAAGCATTTACTCCTGCAGTCCCTGCATGAGCTCACTTGGGCTTATCACTAGTCTTTCGAGCTCTAAATGGAAATTTGTAAGCAGCCACAAATCCTTCAGGAAGGCAAAAAGTTGCCTTACACCCCTTCCCACCCAATAAAAATAATAAAAACACATGATCGTACAAAAGAAACAAGATCACTTATAATCACTTTCTCAAAACACATCCACTGTTAGGATTGTGCTATGCTTCTCGTCTTCTTTTTCCTGCAAATATTTTATATAACTGGGATCACACTGCACGCATTTTGTAAAAGACATATTAAATGAATAAAATCTAATATGTTAAGGAAATCACTAACAAAAAGTACTAGACTGAATAACTATAAATGCTTGAGATTCTATTTAACCGTACTTTCAAAAAATCACATTACATTCATCCTATATCAAGCTCTAAAAGTGGATTTAACAAAAAAGCAAATCTGAGGGAGCCTCAATGTATTCTTTTCCCACTTCCCAGAATCCTTATTTCCACACCGTGAATGTTTGACTAAGTGTAAGTTGAGTGTCATCAAGCTGCCCCATGCTGAATATCTCTAAAACACACACAGTAAGTCTGGCAGGAATCTGGGAACCATCTGGACTGAGCGAGAGTAAGCAAAGGCACTAGTGAAGCGCGCAAGAAGGCTGAAGGAAATGTCCCATCAACTGCCCCAAACGGGTAGAGCACACAAAATATCAAATTAATTAGTGTGGTCACAAGAAAAGACCACAAGGTCGATAGCCCATTTATTCCCACTCCATTAACTAAAGGGTACACAAGAGAACAGTACCTAAGTGCATTTGTAATTCTGTCCTGGGTCTTGTTTAAGATGAGAAAAGCAGTACACAGTCATTATCCAGACAATTGACAACAAATAGAAACACATCACACTAAACCAAAAAACTAACCTCACTGCTACTCGCTAGATTCAAGGGTAGATAAAAGCATGATTTCCTGAATTTGAGAACAATGATTATGTAAGGGGAAATTCTTCTTAGAAAACACACTGAAGTATGAAGGACATGCTGTACTCACAAATGGTTCAAAACCGAACACTCGCTACAGCGACCCTACATGGCAGGGCAGAACTGCCCCAGGGAGTTTCCGAGACTGTCACTCTTTATGGGAGTAGAAAGTCGCATCTTCCTCCCATGGAGTAGCTGGTGGTTTTGAACTGTTGACCTTGCAGCTAGCAGCCCAACTTGTAATCACTACGCCACCAGAGCTCCTCACAAATAGTTCAGGTTAAAAAAAAAAAAGAAATAGGGATACACACACTAACGTTAAAAAGTTCACAGGAAAAAATAAAATTAAAAGGTAACAATTTTCCCATAACTTTTTAAGGATCCCTGGGGGGTGGGGGTACATGTGTGTGCGTGCACATGAAGGCGTGTGTGCGTGCAGACTGACAGACACACAAGTCTGGGCTAGGGCACAGGAGAGTGGAATTCACTGCGTTATTTTTTGCAACTTCTGACTGTTTGAAACTAGCCAAATTAAGTGAGTTTAAAGCATTACTGAAGTAATAGAAGGTTCTATAAAGCACTAAAGGGGGGCACAAAATGAACTCTAAGTCACTATTCTCCTTCCACTCCACTGTCTCTTACCTTGCTCATGCCCACCAAGATCAAACGTTGTAAAAGTCATTCCAGCAATTGTCAGCTCTTCTGATGCTGCAAAAGGTTACCAAAAAGGGGAGAAATAACTTCTCAATTCAACGAATGTAAGCAAATACTAAGCATTTAATGAAGCTTTCCCCTTGTAAAGAAAAGGTAAAATAACTGTTGAATCATCTCTACCCCCCACCCCCACCCCCACCCCCATGGCTTTGGAGCTGTCCTACAGGTCAAGCGAGGAGAGTGAACAAAGTCCCCGAGATCTGCATCAATGAGTGTGTGGCCCGAGTACGTCCCACAGGGAACTCTTGTCAAGTAAACTGTCTTTGGGGACGTCAGTTCGCCAAAGAATTATGTGAACTGGGGATTCATCCCCAACCCTTGGCACTGACTTTCAAAGATCAAAAGGGTCTCCTGGTATTTCCAAACCTACTCGGATGGAGGGTGGGCACATGCTGGCCCAATCTATCATCTTTAAGCATGTGTAGAAGCGTGGTTTTGCCAGCATTGTCCAAACCCAAGAACACAAGTTTTCCAGATTTCTTGTAGAGTCCTAAAAGAGAAATGAATTTAAATGCAATTTAACTCTCTATATAAGAAAGGCTGCTTGTATTTAAACTACGAAAATGAAAAAAGTTTTAACTTATTATCTATTTCAAGAAAGATGGCTTTACCTAGGAACTGGAGCACACTGCTGAAGCCGTTGTAGATCCACTCAAAGATGAAAGACATTATCAACGCTTACTGCCTGTACAAAATAGGAAGGCACCAAACATTAGTTCTCTGAATTCCAGTTGTTTGGAGAAATTAACTCTGACCCCTGGCTCTGATGCACGTTTTAAGAAAACAGGGAAGATACAAGAGACTCCCGGGCCCTTGAGAGGCTTATGAATTTCCCAACCCTCTGGGGCCATCAGGTCTGCCCTAATACTGTTTTTGTAATCTTCTTCAACCATCTATGAAAATTAGATATATGTTACTCTTTTACTGGATGACTCACTTTGGCAGCTGCGTATTCACATTCCCTAGATCAGGCGTCCTCAAACTGCGGCCCGCGGGCCACATGCAGCCCACCAAGGACATTTATCCGGCCTACCGGGTGTTTTTGCCCCGTTTTATTTTTTACTTCAAAATAAGGTATGTGCAGTATGCACAGGGATTTGTTCATAGTTTTTTAAAAACTATAGTCCAGCCCTTCAATGGCCTGAGGGACAGTGAACTGGCCCCCTGTTTTAAAAGTCTGAGGACCCTTCCCCTAGATGCACCGATAACCATAAACACCACACTGGCTGTCATCGAGTAGACTGCACCTCATAGCGACCTATACTGTCTACCGATTAGTAAACACCTCCAGGAAATTAGTATCAGTAGTAGTCTAATCAAAATGTCACACAGGAATTAAAATAATATTAACCTATACTTATTAATAGTTCTACAACAGTCATCAAAATTTTTACTGGCTGCCACAATTTGCCCTGCTTTATTAACCAAAGTTACCCCGTCTTACATCGTATTTGTTTAGCCCTTTTTAAAGATGTGTCACAGTTTATAAAGCAAGAAATCAGTTTTATAGAACTGTAAAGGAGAATCCCTTTATAAGGTGAATATTCAAACACTAGCATCTTTTACAAGTATGTGTTTTCTTTAAATAAAAATTCTTATCCAAGACATAGTGGCAAGTTCCCTAATTGGTTTTAATGCCACTTTACCTGGTGTTTCCAATCCTAGTCAAAACAAGACTCAAGGTCACTAAGGGGTTTATAAACCAAAAGTTAAACTCACTGTCATCGAGTCAATGCCAACTCTTAGTGATCCAGCAGGATAGAGCACAACTGCCCCTCTGGGTTTCCGAGACTGGAACTTTTTACAGTAGAAGCCTCATCTTTCTCCTAAGCAGTGGCTGGTGGTTTTGAACTGCTGACCTTGCGGTTAGCAGCCCAATGATCAACCATTATGCCACCAGGGCTCCTTAAAGGGTCTATATATACTGTAGTACACAAGACCTCTGAGTGAGGTGGAGAGATACTCCAGCTCTAGAAACAGTGGTGGGTTTTAAGAGTTTCTCTGAATTAGCACTTCCAGGTCACAATGATCTTCTTCACTGTCACTGCTACAGATGCAGAAGTCAATACAAGTCGTGTCCCCACCCCCAGCCCTACTCCCCTCCATCAGCAGGAACATTTGAACACAATGTACCAGATGTGACCAGAGGCCATCACACAAAACTTTATGGGCTACTGGGTCACCCACAAAAGTGCACCCACAGTCCCAAGTGAAAGAATACTAACAGGAAATTGACAGACGAAGGCAATCTGTTCATTTTCTTTTCATCCAATTAGCAAGATCTCATAAACTTTCTCCCTCACTGTCACGGAGTTGGTTCCAACTCAGAGCAACCCTAAGCAACAGAGCAGAGCTACCCCTGTGGGTTTCCCAGACTGCAAAACTTTACAAGAACAGGCAAGTCTCATCTTTTTCCCTGGGTGTAACTAGTGGTTTTGAACTGCTGACCTGCGGTTACCAGCCCAAAACATAACCCATTATACCACCATGGTTCATTCATAAAGTTTAAACCAAACTCCCTGTCACCGAGTTGATTCCGACTGAAAGCCACCATATAATACAGGGCAGGGCAGAACTGCGCCTGTGGGTTTCGGAGACTGTAACTGCTTACAGGAACAGAGGACCTGGTGGCCTCCAACTGCTGACCTTGTGGTTAGTAAGTAGCCTGACTAAATCAGAGGGCCTGTTTTATGCTAACTTTCCAAGGCTCTTACCATGGAAGGCCAAATAAGCGTTGAGAGTTTTAGGTTACAGTGGAAACTGAAGGAAAGGCTAAAATGCAAAGATAGCAAATGATTATTTTTACCTTTTCAGCAACATCAAACTGTATCTACCAGGAAAAATACTAATCCAAAATGCATGTTAACTACTAGTTTTGTTAGCTCTTTACGAAGTCCAATAACTCCAATCAATACACTTTAAAAGCTCCTGAGCTCATGGTACCACTGTTGTTATTAGCTGCTGTCCAGTCAGTTCCAGCATACGGCGACCCTAAGTACTATACAATAGACTACTCAAGCTAAAGAGCGATGCACCTGTCCTCTACAGTGCCCTCCGCTTCCACACTCTTCTCAGACTATCACTTGAACAGAGCCCCCTCATCTTCCATTAGGACCACTCCTTCTGATCTCTCCTGTACAACCCAACACTCAGCGCTGTCATTTGTACGACCTGGTTTTCCCTACCTCATTTTAGAAGCATGCTGTGTCTATTTCCAACTAGCTGAAGTATGCAACGCTGACATGGTGAAGAATCCACAACGTGAAAGGATTTTCAATGTTAACCAAGCCACCGAGATTTTCCAAATTTTCCATCCACATTCCTGCTTTAAATTCGAGAGAACTCAAAGAAACTCTTCAGGTGATGTGCAAACAATACTAAAAACCCTTAATGGACCCAAAGAGGTAGGTTGCACTACTATCCAAAGTTAAGAAATGGCCTGATGGTTCCTCCCACCTTGAGGTCTTATGATTTAGTTTTTTAAAACTTTATTTCGATTTTGTTATTTTACACTTTGTGAGACGGTAATGATTACTGTTTTTCACTTTATACAGTGACTACATATTCGCCTCATTCTCACACCAACCACACCACGCTGGCATCCTTGACCTCACTAACAAACAGGGACAATACTGACACTCCCAGGAAGACTGACTTGTCCAAGACTGCTCGGCTAAACAAACAACAGTGCCAAGACATAACCCTTCATCTTTCAAATACCAAAGCCAAAATGTTTCTTATTCATATCAAATAAAATTCAAATCCAAACCACAAAATTGCTTAAATGAAGGAAACAAAAATTCCTTTATGCCACCGACAGATCATAAATCTGCTTTAAGTCTTTCTTCTAACTCTTCACACCTTTTGGGGGTGGCATTTTAGTTTTTAAGAACCAGTCTTCCTATTCTGGATGCCCCCTACCACGGTTATGGTAGAGTACAGCGCTCAGCCAGGGCAACTCAAAACTTGCCAAGTTGGAGAGCCACTGATTCAACAAACAAGAGTCCCAGAGCATCTGGCTGCCATTAGCCAATGACGAACCTCAGCCAGGCCGCCTTCCAGTTACACATTATACCGCTCAGAGCAACTTTGTGAGACCATTAAGGCCAGAAGCGGGGCAGTGGTGGACAAGCTGACTTTCGGCAAAAATCTCTGCTTAGCTTAAGTGAAAAGTCTCAGGTCAGCTCCACAGCTGATGCCACCACCCAGATGGATGGGCTCACGCTGCAGGAGAGAGAATGCCAACAGAAACACTCGGCACGGACCCTCACAAGTGGCTCTAGAGCCCTCTGGTCGACAATCGAAAAGGAAAGATGAATCGCCGCCAAATGCTAATGAAGGTACTTCTCCGGGCACGAAGCAGAGGAGGGTACCGGCCAGAAAAGAGAGATCACGGGGTTTGACCCGGAGCCCGGGAGGTTAGCTGGGCCGAAGTCGGGCGAGTCTTGGACTAGGAGCCTGGGGACCTGGTTAGGACGCTCACACTGGCTAGCGGCCGAGGCCGGCCCTCGAATCTGTGAAGGCTCATCCCAGACAAGGGACCTGAAGCTGTCTCGTAAACCACGCGCACAGGACGGGACAGGAGAGCCGAAGGGACCATCCTCCGCCGCCCCCGGCCGACCCGAGACCCGAGCAGAACACAGGTCGACCCAGTATCCCTTAGCACACCGAGCCGACAGAGCCACGGCGGCCCGTCCCCGCCCAGAACCAGCCCGCGGCCCCCACAGAACCGCCTGCGTGTCACTTCCCCCCCCTCCACCTGCCTGAGCCGGCCTCCACCCGGACCCTCACCGCCGTCCCCCAGCCCTCCGGCCCCCGCTCCCTCGCCCACCGCGCCCTCGCGACTCACGGCCCGAGGGGCTGCTCCGGCGGCGACGGGCGGCCTGGACCCTGCCTCAGAGCACACAGAACAGAAATAACCAGGACCGCCAGCTACTTGCCGGATGTACGTAACATCCCCCTCCCTCGGGACTTCCGGGTGCGTACGCAGCCCCGCCCCTTTGCATGCGTCACGACGCTCAGCTACCTCAGTGCTGTCCTACCCGGGACTCAGGTCGTGAGGGGGCGTGCCTAAGGCGTGACGCTCCGCGCGCGGGGGCGGGCCTTGAGTTGTCCCCGCCTCCTTCCGTACGTACGAGACGTGGCAACGCCGGGGCCCACAGGGTGGGGACAGCATCCCTGCGTCCCTGGAGCAGATTACCTGAAATGTTGGAGGATCTGGAGTTCAAGTCCAGCTGCGTTCGCCGACACAAGCGATGACAGTCTTCTACCTCTGATGGGTCGTACCAACCTTTTGCTTTCCCTTTGATCGTCTGTTTTTTCGGAGAAAACAATATTTACGTTCCAAGCCGTGTTCTGAATACGTTACATGCCTCCTCTATTAACCCTCCACATAGTGCTATGAAAGGAGCTCTGGTGGTTTAATGGTGACGCATAAGGCTGCTAACCGCCAAGTCAGCAATTTGAAACCATTCCGCAGAAGAAAGACTTGGCTTTCTAATCCCATAAAGAGTTAACAGCCGCGGAGACCATCAGGAGCACTTCTACCCTGTCGGTCGCTCTGGATTAGAATCGAAGGTCGTGAGTTTTTTGCTTTGGTCCCAAAATGTGCATGGAAATATATAAAATGGAATGGCCAAGAAACAAAAAAGAAGAGAAAGGAGAAGGGAACTAGCACTATCCAATATTAAAACTCATGATCAAATCCAAACTAATATAGGTGAGTGAAATGAGACTCAGAGTAGCCCTATTAAGACAGCATAGAACTGCTCCCACCGCGGTTCCACGGCTGTAATCCTCGTGGAAGCAGACTGCCATCTCTTTCTCCTGCCCCGAGGCTGCTGGGTTTAAAGCGCCAAACTACTTTTTTGGACTGCGCAGGCAGCAGGAGAGTACTCCTTGGTTGGTTGGATCTCCTTGATTTGCCCTAGGAAGTAAGGCTCACAGCAACCCTATAGAACAGACTAGAACTGCCCCGTGGGTTTCCAAGACTGCAAATCTTGCTTTAAGTGCCACTAAGTTGGTTCCAACTCAGAGCATGCCTGTGTACTACAGCACAAAACACTTCCTGGTCCTGTGCCATCCCAGCAATGCTCACGTTGAGCCCATTGTCGCAGCCACTGTGTCAGTCCATCTCCTGGAGGGCCTTCCTCTTTTTCACTGCCCCTCTCCTTTACCAAGTATGATTTTTTTCTCCAGGGACCGGACCTCCTGATAGCATGTCCAAAGTACGCGAGATGAAGTCTTGCCATCCTTGCCTCTAAGGAGCATTCTGGCTGTAGTTCTAACAAGACAGATTTGTTTGTTCTTTTGGCAGTTCATGGTACTTTCAATATTCTTTGTCAGCACCATAATCCAAATGTATCAATTCTTTGGTCTTTCTTATTCAATTCCAAAGTTCCAATTCCAAATTTCACCTGCACATGAGGTGATTGAAAATACCATGGCTTGGGGAAGGTACACCCCAGTCCTTAAAGTAACATCCTTGCTTTTCAACACTTTAAAGAGATCTTGTGCAGCAGATTTATCCCAGACAAATCTTTAAGGGAGTAGAATGTTTTGTCTTTCTCCCTTGGAGAAGCTGGTGGTTTTAAACTTCTGGCCTTTGGGTTAACAGTCCAAATTATAACTCATTTCACCACCCAGGCTCCTTCTAAGGCACAAAAGAAGCCTCAGATCTAATTTAACTTAAGGAGAACATTTATTCAGTGTTAAGCAGGAAAAGAAAGAAAAAGACCCTTCATCTGGATGAGAGAGACCATTAGCACGAGGTTGTAATGGCATCCAGGTTTGGCAGAGATTCGGAAACTTAAAGGGGTGGGCAAAGGAAACTATCACAAAGTATGATTGGCAGCAGATCAACACATCACAGTTACAGGTGGGACTATAGAAGCGGGAATGGGACCTTGATTGGAGCACATACATTATGTTAAGCAGAGGAGCTTACAAGATTGACTCAGGGCCCTCTTACTCTGGGACCCTAGCACCCTAAATTCCATGAAGGGAACCCCCTGACAAGGTCCCTACGGGTGATGCCACTTCTCCCAGGACCAACTTGACATATAACAGTGACCTGCTCTCTAATGCACGCTGCCAGAGAACAAGGTTATTCACGCTGCTAGTTAGTGGTCAGAAGAGATTCAGTGGAGGCTGAATTTACATGGGGATTCATAAATGAATGTTGGGCTTCCGCTGTAAACGATAGCCTTCTGTAAACTCAGTGCTCAGAAAGTTTACCTCTAATACCCTACCATCTCCCCAGGTACAAATATTACTGGAGACAATGTTTTTGAAGCACCAGACACAGTAAGAACAACAACAACAACAAACTAAATTCACTGCCATTGAGATGATGCTGACTCTTGGTGACCCCCTGTGGGTTTTCAATGTTATAACTTTATGAGAGTAGAACTCCCATCTTTCTCCTGTGGAGTGACTGGTGGTTTTGAACCGCTGACCATGTGGATCAAGCCCAACTTGTAACCACTATACCACCAGGGCTCTCAAGAACCAAATACGCTTCCCTTGTTTAGTAGCTCTCCCTTCCTCCTAGACCACAGCAGCACTGGGCTTTAGGCCGCAGAACAGTTTCTCCAGAAAGACATCCCTTCTTTAATTGGTCAGGGCCAACCTGGCCTCGGCAGTTCCAGGGACGGTGACTAACTTGTCCCGAGGTTTCAAATCATGAGAGTCATCTCAGTCCCCACTCCTGGGGAAAAGTGGATTACAGAATTCTCCTCCTTCCTCGGCACAGTGGTGACTCCCGCTGGTCTTCTTTACCAGGGTGAAGGTCACAAAGACTAGCCTATCCTACTTCTTCCTACTATCTAGGGGGAAAGAATTTGGCAGTTGTATTAAAATGGGCTTTGGGGCTAGGACTATAGGGAATTCAGACTCATAGTGCAATGCCTACATGTCTTTAAAGCCTACCCATTGGCATCATTACATGCTTGAAAGACTGCTGAGGCAAAGATGCAGCTGTTCACATTACACCATACCTTCCCAGAGGTCATCATGACCAACTGTGTGTGGGTTTTTTTCCTCCCAGAAACTCTCTGTGCCCATACAAGCCTCTCACTAATATAACCCCTCTTCCCAGGGCTCCCTTGTGAAATGTGCAAACAGGACCATGCTAAGAGCAGGGCCCGGCCAACTTTTCCTGTCAAGGATCAAATTGTCAACATTTTGAGCTTTGCGGGGTCATCTAGCTTCTGTCCCGACTACGCAATTCCGCTGTTGGAGGAAGAAGGCAGCCACAGACGTTTGTAATGGAGTAGGCATGACTGTGGTCCAACAGAATGGTGTGTCTGACACAGGCGGAAGGCTGGGATTGGCAGGCAGGCCTTTGTAGGCTGACCCCTGCTCTGAAGTTCTCCCACTTTCTCTTTCCACTTCAGCATTTTGAACAGTTTTCCCGGATCTGCCCGTGCAGCAGCTCCTGCAACTGCTGCATGGGCTGGATAATCTCTTTCACCGTTCCTCCACTGGCCATTGAGATCCGGACGCAGGTCTTGCTCCTAAAAACAGGTCGGCATCCATGGGGTGTTAGCTCCTTGCTCCGTGGGATGACTTCTTGGCATCAACTGCTGAGTGAAAGAGTAAGTATGAGCTTAACATTCTAGTAGATCTGACCACCGTTGCTCCTTTTAGAATTCAGATGGCTACCGGACTTTGTGCTTTTTCATTGCTTAATCTTATTCATGGTGAGTGTTTTCTGTTCTTTTCAAGGGAAAAAAATCCCAAAGACCAATAGAGGTAAGCAAGGAACGATTGCTACAGATATTTGATTCTTAAATAGTTTCCCACCATGAAGTCCATGTAAAAAACAAATCCTCTCTCACCAGGAGAACCCCCAGGAAGTGGTGGGTGCCACATGGTTACTTGTAACAGAATATGCTAAAAGAGCACAGTTTCAACCCTTGTAGTGTGACTGTGCTGATCAGATAGGAAAGAATTGCTACAAGAGCTGCAGCTTGGGCTCAGTGTTGTTGAAAATGAGTTTTGAATTTCCAATTTACATTCTCATTTTGGACCCTTACCCAGCTGGGCCATGCTTCAAGCGCCTTTACTGAGGAATGCACCAATTGCACTCCGTGCTGCTGAGATCACGACAGCCTTCGATGGGCACTGACTAGAGAGAGTGCCCTTATTTATTTCACAAACCAACCCTGTGACGATGGCATTATGAAAATGGACAAAGAATGGGTTAGTGATTATCAAGATTTTAAAAAATCAACTTTATTCCATTTTACAACTTCGGTGTGGCTTGTCTTAGTTTGCTAAGCAGCAAAAATGGAAATAAATGATTCGTTTGTGATTTCAGGCCAGGGAGCAGGAATGTGAACGAGGAACTTTGCCACAAACATAGCTATGAATGTAGGAGAACAGACAGGAGGCAAAGTCAAGGATATTTCTCAGACGTAAACAAACTCCTGGGGGAATGAGTGGCTGATCCAGGGGGACCAGGACCACAGTCTTGGGGGGCACCACGGTCAATTGGAATGTCATCATCGACAAAGACCGCGTTCCCCAGCCTGCTTGGGGGAGCAGTGGCTGAGGTCTCAAAAACTCCTGACAGCCATCTAAGATGTAACACTAGTCTCTCTCCACTCAGAGGAATGCAGAATGATGAAAGCCAAGAGATATGTGGACACAATGAGCCCAGTGGACAAAGAGGCCACACACACACCAGTCTCCACAAAGCTGAGACCAGAAGAACTCAATGGTGCCTGGATACCACTACCAACGACTCTGAAAAAGATCCCATTGGAAGGTCCTGGGTAAGGGACAAGGGAATAACAAGTGATCTAAAAATCATGGCAAGGAGGGCGTGGAATGCCTGGTAGGGTTTGGTCAAGTGCAAGGTAGCCGAGAGGAATTCCTGGGAGCCAAATGAAGGTTAAACATGATAGTGGGGCAGGAGGAAAGTAAAAGGAAATAGA